ACATACTTCATGTACTATGTACACTACACATACTTTATGTACTATGTATACTAAGTGTACTTTACGTACTATGTGTACTATGTATACTAAGTGTACTTTACGTACTATGTGTACTATACATACTACCTGTACTAGTTATCCATATTATAAATACTATGCATACTAATTATGGATACTATGCGTAGTATAAATAATTAAAAAAATATATATATTATGGATATTATAGGTACTATATTCTTACAAAGCAAAAATATTAACATGGTTAAATGTACACGTATGCGATCTGATGCAGTTCCATTATCATCAGAAGATTATAAATTTATTATGCAATATCGTGATGCAAAACCAAAAACTAAGGTTTTAAAGGAATTAAGAAAAAAATACCCTATGACGTATGACCGTTTTTATAGAATTTGGAGAGGGCAAGAAGTTGGTATGGTAGAATGGTATCAGCTTGTATCAGATCCAGTAGCACCTCAAAATCAGGATTTATCTATACCTGAATCGTACTTACCAGATATTAACCAAGCTAGTATGGTTGAAAATTCTAATGGTCAGACTTCAGTATTTGAAACGTATCAAATTAACAAAGATATTTTATGTGTCAGAGACACCGCACCCTGTGCGCTGCAAAGCAATAGTTCTTCGAGCCTACATCTAGATTCTAATGCTACTTCTGATAAGCGGGTTAAAAATAGAAAACTGAGATCTAAATCTGACTTACCTAATAGTAGAGCTAGTGCCAGTGGCAGAGCCACGAGTTTTCAACTCAAGGCACATGTTATCAATGGGGTTGACACGGTATACCTGCCACCCAAATTCAAAATCCAAATGCCGAAATCCCAAATGCCGAAATCCCAAATCCCAAATCCCAAATTATGATTAGTATTTTTTGCCAAAATCCCAAATCCCAAATCCCAAATACTAGTAATTTGGGATTTTGGCGTCCCAAATCCCAAATGATTTGGGATTTGGGCAACACGTATATGACACGGTCAATAAACCGATAAAAAAAGTAGGAGGAAAAGATGACATGTATACTATAATCGAGCGTGAAGCCAGAGAAGCAGAAGAAGCCGAATGCGAGTCTGAAAGATTTTTAAATCCCAACTAATCTATCTTCGTCTTTTCTATATCAGTATTGACAACCTTCTCATAAAAGTCTTCAGGCATATTTCTATGAAGTCGCAATTTTTTATTGAGTTCGATTAATTTAAACCTG